CCAATTGGGCTTTTGAGTGCATGCGCTGAAATTATCCCCTCAAAATAAGACCTCCCTGAAAATAAGGCCAAGTGCTTATTTCAGGGGTCAAAAGAAAATAAAACCCTGTCTTATTTTCGGGGAAACACGGTAGATGAAGGACGGAGAAGAAACACCATCCAGAGGACCAGTGGGGATGTTGGAAAATTGGCGTTCAGTCTGTTTTGTGGTCAGAGAAGGAAAAATCTCTCCAAAGGATTGAAGAAAACAAATTCTCACAAATGGAAAAGTACCACCACCACCTTCACAAGGTCACCTGTTGGGACAGGTGTGGAAATAGAACAGTGTCCTGCTTTCTTTCTGATCTCCAAAAAGTACTCAGAAGCACAGAGGGCAGTGAATGAAGTATCTATGAGATGTTTTAAGGCCGTTGTCCTTTGCTATGACTACATAACAGATGTGAGACACGGTGCAATATTCGGTAAAATCTTCAGGTGATTTAAAGTGTTGCAGATATACTCTACTGCTTTACGTCGTCCTTTGAGAAGCAAGTGTGTAGTAAAGGGAATGCATATTTAATTATACACGTATGAACCACAGCTAGAAATGTATTTGCACAAAACTGGAAAAATGGAGAGATCCCTACTGAAGGGAATGTGATTAGGAAAATATTAGGACCCAGGCCTGCCACGCCCATGAACTGGTTCTCCTGGCGGAGGCATAGGCACCACCATTTGCTTATTGCTTCTGCACATGCACAGAGCAATTTTAGTTGTACTGAGCAAGTGCACAGCATGTCCCTGACCAAACCATCAGTAATCTCTGCCGGGACTCACCCCTGAAAACGATAAGAGAAGAGGTGAGTCTCTCCCACCCAAAGAATTGAAAAGTACGTGGCCATTTTTTACTACAAGAGGCCATTGTCATGGCTGAAGAATTCTAGGAGTTAAAGTCCACCAGTCTTTAAAGTTGCCAAGGCTGCCCTAGAGTAAGCTCATTGCAGGCCCAAGCTGCAATACTCTTCATTAATGGAAGCATTTGTACCATAAAGCTACAATTTCTCTTTTTATAAAATTGTTATTGAAAATATTCAGATGGATAAAAGATAAACATGAAAATACATGAAGTAAAAAGATAAAAGAAAGCAGTACAATTAAAGAAAAAGAAGGAATAGTTACAGATTTAATATTCTTTGCAGCTAATACAAATAGGCATCCCTTATCCGTTTTATAAATTACATGAAAGATGTCTTTTTTTAAATATTCAGCTTATTTTTTAATCAGCAAATCCACAAATAACCATCCCCCTATCCAGTGGTGGGTTCTGGATCCCGTCACAACTGGTACACAGTGATGGGGCCGAGCATACACCACGGGCACCCACACTGCGCATGCATGCGCACCCACCCCCCTCAGTGCTCCAGCTGCTCGGTGGAGCATCGCGCAGGCACCATACTCTGCATGCGCATGCACGAATGGCCCAGTTGGGTGAAATATAGGTAAGGAATGCGGGTGGGTGGGCGTACTGGTGCCTGCTGGGCAGGAACCCACCACTGCCCCCACCCCATTTTGACCAAAAGGCTTCCCGTTTGTTTTTTTAAAAGTACTTTTACTCCTGACCAAGTGGGTCAGTTTTGCTATTTCCTATAAAGCAACTATCTCATTAGGCTAACTAGAGTTTCTTTAGCCATGTTTTTTTTAAAAAAAACAAACTGAATTTAGTTAAAATCCAGGTGCACTTCCAGACCAGATACAAAGCAGAGAGGAAAACATAATGGTGGAATGACCACCTATTTTAAAAGCAATAGCTGAAAATTCAGATCCTGGAAGCAGCAGGAAGGGTATTTGATCAGTAGCTTGGCTTCACCAATAATTTGCTTTGCAAATATGATTGCAAGGTGCCTTACTTGTGTTATGGATGGACAGAAATCTAATTTTCATACCTGTACATTATTAAGGAAAAGGTTAATATTCAAGCAGATTGGCTGAGTGGAGGAATGGGGCCAAGATTGATGGTTTTCTAAATCCCGTTTTCTTCCAGGGAATAGTTGGGAGTTGGGGCATAATCCCTTCAGAAATTGGACGGAGTCATTAAGTGAAGCAGCAAGCAGTTTATTGTGAAATACATTCTTGCAAGAGTGAATAGCTAGCAAAGTAGGCACACGTTATGATAAATTTCAGTAGTATTTTATTCCCTATTTAGTCCCTCCCTGGCCTCCCCATTGGCTGGGTACTACAAGGTTTACAACCTATCCA